GAAATAATGAATGTGTTGAAGCTACTGCAAGAATTTGTAATACGAATCATCCAGACCACAACGTGAGCCACAGAAGACCTGTGAAAGAGAATGCCGATTTCAGACTCCGGAAATCTTCAATAATGTAAGTAGACTGTATTAAAGAAGTAATAGAGGGACAAAAGACCTTTTGGATGATGTATCACTCGACCCCCCTGCTATTGAAAAAAAAGAAGGGTAGTTGGTGACCGCAGGGGGGTGAAGTTTCGGATATGATTTCTATATAAGAATTAGTTCTCCTAGAAATAAAAATTGACGTGTTTTTTGAAATTTTCGATTACACGCCCGTTTCTGACTTACTGGGGGGATCAAGTTTTCGTTGGAACACCCCATATATCCTTCGTACACAGGCCAAATCGGTTAAAATACATGAAGCCACTTAATTTCAAAAATTTTGCTTTCGAAATAATGCTTTTGTATGTGATAATTCATCTACAGGCTTGGGATTTCATTAAATGATTTTAAGTACACCCAAGTCATTTGCTTAGCAACATTCCGAAAATTATGAATTTGCAAATGCTTTAACGTATGAACTTTGGTGCACTAGCGATTTTTAATTTTTTTTAAGAAAAAAACAGAAGCTCTACAGGAAAATCCTTAAAGCGCCCTTAGAGCGGTGCCTGTGCGAAAGTAGCGATTCACATTGGTTTTGAATCGCCGAAGAAATAATCCATTTGGAAAAAACGTTACAATTTTATTTTTTTTTCATATTGTGGAAATCCCCAAAAAGGTCAATGAAAAACTCATTATAGTAGACCATAGAAATTCAAGGTTCTGCCACTGATTATTTAGACGGAAATCATATTTTTGAAAAATGTGTTTCTTGCTCACGAAAATCACTTACATATAAAAATAGAGATAACACTACTTTTCTTGAGAAATATTTCTTCTTAAGTGTTGTCATTAATAATAAACAAAGTTCCTTTGGACCACCTGAAGCGTTAATCGGTTACCTACGTAAGATTTGTGTATACCAGTTAGCCAGGTTCAAAATAGAGAATGAGAAAAATTCAATGTCAGTTTCATGCACTCCACTAATCCACTAGTTGACCCAACTTACCTGCTTTCTGGTGTCTTATTGGTCTTATCTTTTTCATGGTCGACCAGAGTGGAGGATTTATCTTTTTCATTGACATTTTGTGGTGGTGGCCATCGTGATGTGGGTGGGACACTCTTAATCTAATTAAAAATTTTTGTTCTTGATGTGGATGGTTCTCAACAGATGGTGCGAAGGTCGAGAAAATTTGGTTATTTCACGATGATCAATTATTTAGTATACAAGAATTAATTGTGTCGATAACGTCTATATTAAATCAATTTCATTTACTTCCAGTAATAGTAATATATATATTTTAAGCACGAGACGTTAGCCAAGTGCAGTAATTCGCGAGTGGACGTAATTCGTTCTATACTTTTTCTACGACTGACCATAGAAAAGAATGGTACAATATGTTTGTTTGAGATTATGTCTTTGGATGATAAACTCATTCAGTCAGTCAGGACTGACACGCGTTACCGCATTATATAATAATGTCAAATAGTGCGAACAGGTATTTTTTGGTGTGTAAAATTTTTTCAAATCCTTTTGCTTGGCTGTTATAGTCCATAGAAGTAGGCATTGAAGGCGTTTGGCAAATGAAATATGATTGGCTGTTGGCTGGTGAGGTTGAATAATTCAGTTATAACCTTTATGTTGGATCTCAGTATTTCAAAAATTGTTGCAAAAAGTTCATAAAAAATGAACAGAAGAAAAAAGCGCAATTGTGTTTCTTTCGAAAACAAATACACACATCGGAAAAGTCTAGGGATATTTTTAAAAATGGCAATAATTTTTTTTTAGATCGCTTTAGGTAAAAAAGTTGACGGGTGATTATTACACGAATGTAACTTACAACAAAATTTATTAAATGGTAAAAAATACTGAGTGCGCATATAAGCAAAACTAAAAAAAAATATGGCTCTTCTTTGGCACCCCGAAAAAAAATCATAATACAAAAAAAATTGGAATCAGTACAAAGTATGGCCTCCACGCTGGTTTATTACGGCCCTACATCTATCGTGCATCGACAAAATGAGATTGTCAATGTCTTGTTGAGGTACATTTGCCCATTCAGCGATTAAAAGCTCTCTCAATTGAAACGTTGTGTGAATGTTCCCCATATGCGGAGTAATTCTTCGTTGAAGCATGTCCCACACATGCTCGATGGGATTTAGGTCCGGTGATTGTGCTGGCCATGGCAATACATCAATACATCGTTGGTGAGCCAGTCAGTTACTAGACGCGCGACATGTGGACGAGCATTATCGTGCATTAGTTGGAAGTTTTCACCAACAGCCCCAGCAAACGGACGGACGATAGGTAGAAGAATGGTGTCGAGGTACTGTCGAGCTGTGAGGGAGCGATTTGGAAAAACGAGATCGGTTCTGCCGCCGATCATGATTCCGCCCCATAGCATTACTGTACCACCTCTGTATGTGTGGACTTCCTGGACGTGTCTCAAACGTTCATTATTTCCAGGTCGTCTCCACAGTCTTACTCGACGAGAATTTGGATGAAATCCAAATATGGATTCGTCTGTAAACAAAACTGTGGCCCAATCATTTGCATCCCAGTTTTAATGTTCTTGACACCACTCTAATCTTGCGATTGCCTCTCGACAAAGGAGGACATCTAAGTGGCCTTCTGTTGTGGAGATCTGCTTCATGCAGTCGATTTCTGACAGTATCACGACCAATGGTTACCTGGTGCGTCTGCTGCAACACGTTAACCAACTCAGGTGCTGTGATTGTCGGTTGTCTTCTTGCGGTTAAGACCAAAAATCGGTCTTGAACTGCAGTTGTAGCGCGTCCTCGCCCTGGATGTTGTTCGGCTGGTCTGCCAGTTTCACGGAAACACCGCCACAATCGACTGATAACACTTTGGGAGACCCCCAAACGAAGAGCTACATCATTTTGTCGCATGCCACCTTGAAGAAGCCCTACAGCTCTATTCATCTCAGCCAATGGTAAGTGATGGCGTTCCATGTTAAAGCACAATATTTCCAGTTTAATTGCTGAGCAAGAACTGCATAGAATGTACAAACTCGACACTTTCAGATTATTCATTTTAGCCGAAAACCTACAGTTTGTAAAAAACTTGATAAAATATTAGTTATCGTTTTTGCAGGCTTTGTTCAACCCATAGAAATCTACAGGGTGGTCGAGTGTACCAATTTAATCGAAATTAAACGACCTCATGCATATATTTTTATGATATTTAGTATGTTATAAAAATATCCCTAGACTTTTCCGATGTGTGCCATCTGGAGCTTCCTTAATGAATTAACTTATTTGTTCAGTGCTAAGCGTCGACGATTTCTTCGGTTTATAACCATCAGATTTGCGTTTTAGAGAGACACGTAATTTAGAATAGTTGCTAATGTCAACATTTTTTTGATATTCAGGGTACTTCTCAGCATAGAGTATATTGCCTATAATGACGATGTTTTTAAAGTTTTTTCTGAATATTCGAAATAATCGAGAAGAACGTTTTTGGAAAACGAAATTGTTTTTCTTCAATCTCCATTTCATAAAATTTTCGAAATTATATTCGTATTTTTCTCTTGATTTTGCTGGCAGCAAATAATTCATCACAATATTTGCTTGCTCGGTAATATCTGCTGGGAGAGCACAAATTTCTTGATCGTTATCACTCATTATGAATTTTCATGAGATTCGGAATGACAGTTCATTATTAAAACAATTGGTAGTTGATTGACGGATATAACTACATTCATTACCAACCCGCAAACTGTTGAACAATAAATTCACTGAAAATATGATTTTTATTTTGATTTTACAAATAATTTGGAGAGAAAATGCACTGATTTTGGCCTTTGGATAATATATATTCATGGGATCATATTTCATATCATAAGTGTTACATATCTCATCATTTTTTTTTTCAATTTTCACAAGGAGTGGTACTAGTGAAGCCATATTTACAACTGGACATAGGACATACGAGATACTGGTAACGACTCTCAAAACCAGCGAAAATTCTTCAGAAAATATGCAGGCATCTGCAGAGAATGACGAACAAAGAAATCGTTGTGAATAAAGTTTCGATAATCACTTGCAAAAACGTGTATTTCATTTGAGAATAACTGATAAGAATTGTAATGTCACTCTCAACAAGAAAAAAAAAGAACTGTATTGTTTTATAATTCAGTTTTCAAGTGAAAACATATGAGGTACGTATGTCATGCATATATCCAGCCGAAACTTCTCAATTTCACTACAGAATATTATATTTAGTTTCTTATCGAGTTGAAATATTTCATACTTGAAATTTTTCTTTAAATTTCAACTGAAGGCGAAAATGCCTCTGTTTCCAATATCACTTTTTGAGTAAATATCGAACTGAAGTTTTTTATTTGTTTGAACAGTTGAAGAAATGATGTTTGTAAATTTTCAAAAATCACTTATGTAATTCAGTTTACTAACACAGTATTATATTTACAAAATGGTGCTTCAGTGATCTGTTTATAAATTAAACTCTATCTGAAAATGTTTTAACTCATACCAGTGACATGGGGTTGTAAAATCTCATTACTTCAAGGAAAAATATAGAAGTTCCTCCCATTTAATTAATGGTTTAAAATTATTGTCAGGTTTATTACAATGCCATCAGTAATTTTTTCTCACGACTTGTAACAAACACCTATGCGGTTGGCCTGCCTTCAATAAATTTGATAAACACGTTGGACGAATCCCAAAGTGTTTATGAAGGAAAAACCCGTTCGTGTGTAACTAGTTTTTTTTCATAAATAGTCTGGTTGTGGCGTGAAATATATTTTATCGAATGTGATACACAATTAAGAATATACCTACGTATATATATGCTTATTTCCTCTTCATTAGTTTTTTAATGCTTATTGTGTACGTTAGATGGAGTAGAGAGTTTGAAACAGAAATAGAAATGAAAACACAGAAAAACAAGAATTTTTATTGGTACACAGTGTTTTACAGTCAACTTTATTGAATATTCGATTTTGTCACGTATTTAAGAGAAGTTCCAGTATGTTATATAATTTCTGTACCTGAAACAAAAAATAAATTATTATTTTTATTGGCCGTAAGTTGGACACAAATAGTATTGTATTATTTGAGAATTTTCAATAACAATGTTCGGAATTCTTAGGTATTTTCATTTTCCAGAATCTGGAAAAAGTCTAATGAATAATTTTGAACTGGGGTATAAAAAGTTATTCGGACGTCAGTCGTTAAATGAAGAGGATACAAAAGCAAATTTTGAAAGTATGGCAACTGCCATGAGTTTTTTTTATCCGTTGTTTGAGACGTATGTTTGAAAATTTATAGAATTGTTTCGGATAATAGAAATTGTATAAGACAAGTTGCTCACAAAGGGTATTCACTTTTGGTTATCTTCTTCATTACAGAAAAATCGAAATTAATGAACAAGTCGGTGCTCATGAAAAAAAAATATCAACATTGATATTTTTGATAGGTAATTATAATTTTCGAATCTTGATAATTTTGAGGAATCCAACATATTCTCGACATCCATTCTATCAAAATGCGTACAATTCCAAAATATTCAAAATTTTGCTTTCGTGTATAAAAATTCAAGATAAAATTTTATATGCTTCAATCGTTTGCAAAATTCCATGAATTATGGATTTGCACATATAGAGTGGTCCAACGAAAAGTATGGACCTTGCTTTTCTCCTTTTTTTGTAACTTAACGCAAAAATGCTCGGACAGGCCAATTTTGTTTTTGAGGGGGACACATTTTAGATGTATTTTTCTACCTGTGCCATCAACCCCCTAGCGAGGGTGAGTAACAACCCAAAAATTTTAAATGGAAAGTGGGGTCGAGTGATACATCATTTGAAAGGGCACAAAATTCTCTTTCCAATGAAACCTAATTGGTTGTATTTACTTGAATAGTTATAAAAAAAGCTAGAACATTTACTCGATATTTTTGGTGTTGATGAAAATTCGGAGAATTTTTTATCACTACTACATTCCTCAATTTCTCTCGTGCGGTTTTTGGTTCAAATAAAATTAGCAGATAAGTGTACAAAAATAATTTAGCCAAACGTTCATTGATTCAGTTCGGTTGCTTTTGAAATTATTTCAACTTTACTGTAAAAATGGTTTATTCTATTCCTGAACGAGTGAAATTGTTAAACTTTATTATCAACATAATAGTTGTTCTAGACTTACTGCTCGCCTCTTTAATAACAATCATCCCGGAAAAAATGTGAATGATTCGTACGTTGCCAAGTTAGTCCAAAGGTTTGTCGATACCGGATCTGTCTGTAATGTGAAACACCAGCCACGAAAACCGATCAGAAATCAAGCAGTGGAAGTCGCTGTTTTGGGAAATGTTGAATTGGATCATATGCTAAAAGTACCCGTCAGCTTGCTGCAGCCTCAGGTGTCTCCCGTTCGTCCATAATACGGATATTAAAATACTATAAATTTCATCCGTACAAAATTAAATTAGTACAGGAACTCAATGAAGATGATCCTGATAGAAGGCTGCAATTTTGTGAACAACTGAGCCAGCTACTAATTGATGATCCGCACCTATAATTCAACACGTGCTTTTCCGGTGAGAGTACATTTTTTTTAATGGAGCTGTGAATAGGCATAATTGCCGTTAACACACACTCATTCCGAGAGGTCCATACCCAGTACCCCCAAAAAATCAATGTCTGGTGTGGCATATTAGGTAGTCATATCGTAAGGCCACTTTTTATTCCTGGGAATTTAACTGGTGAGGTCTACCTGAACATGCTTGAAGATACAATTGATCCTCTCATAACAGAAATAATTGAAAATGACCAAAATCATAATGATGATCGGCTTCATTTCCAGCAAGATGGAGCACATCCTCACTATGTTGCTCCGGTAAGAGAGTTTTTAGATGACCGGTTCCCTGGACGGTGGATTGGAAGGAGAGGCCCCATCGAATGGCCTACCAGGTCACCTGATTTATCGCCTTTAGACTTTTTCCTTTGGGGACACTTGAAAAATAAATGTTTTGCTACGCAGCCCGAGTCCATAGAAGATCCTCGCCAACGAAATACAGCAGAGTGCAGAAGTATAACACCTGATATGCTACAGAATGTTAGGAATAGATTTGAACAAAATGTGTATTATTGTATGGAAGCAAATGGGTCACATTTTCAGCACTTGCTGAAGTAGGATTCTTCTAAGTCAATTACACATTTCAAAGTACTGGGTTGTAGTTGTTTTTCTTCATAATACCTACATGTTTGAGTGAAATACATCAAATTAGGTATCATTGTAAAGATAATTTTGTGCCCTTTCAAATGTGCCCTCGCTAGGGGGTTGAAGGCACAAGTAGAAAAATACATCTAAAATGTGTCCCTCTCAAAAGCAAAATTGACCTGTCCGAGCATTTTTGCGTTAAGTTACAAAAAAAGGAGAAAAGCAAGATGTATACTTTTTGTTGGACCACTCTGTATATCAACATATTAAACGCAATAGCGATATCGATAATCCTTGAGAAAATTATTGTATCTACAATAAAACTTGTCAAGGTGGATTAGAAAGTTTACACATGCATAAAGTCACTATAATTTCAATCTTTTTGTATGTTGGAAGGTGAAAATAACAAAAAAAAAACCAAAACCTCAACAATCCTATGTATCGTTCTCTAAAAAGTGTCCTTATGAATTAATTGACAACTTCCTATAAAAATTTAAGTCCATTTTCATAAAATACTGACACATAAAAAAACCGCTACTCTAAAAAAAGCTCTAAGAAAAATATGGAATTTTCAAACATTTCCTGAATTTATTTCAATGGCATTAGTTCATTCATTCACTAATTTTTTTCATGCCAATTTCAATTTGATTAACATATAGTAATAGTAGGCGTGGAAGATATTTCCTTTTCATAAAAGTAAATATATATTCCCAGATTATTTGTGCGAATGGAATCTTTGGAAAGGTATAATAGAATGAATAAATAATTTTTACGTCGATAATGCTCGAAGATATTAATTCCAAACAGAGAAAGTTCATATACTATGAACGTTGATAATATTAGAATATTTAATGTGAAGATTATGTATGACTTATTTTTCTTCCTAATTAAAACTCTAATGCGGCGATAACACATTTGATGAATATTTACAACTGTCATATGAATAATCTTTCCATATAAGAAACGTCTTGTATAACCAAGATATCATCATGAATGTTGAGTATTATTTTGTTTTTTGACAAGAAAAATAGAAATTTTTTTTCAAATTCAAGTCGAAAGATGGAGTTTGATCAGTCAAACTAGTAATATGTCCTTATAAAGGACTTCTGTTGCCATAAATATTGATGATTGTAGGATTCTTCTATTTGTAATGCTTCTTAAGGTAACTCTTACTTCTTCAAGAACAATTACATGTAAAATATGTGCGATTTTATGCCAAAATACTATAAGACAATGTTATAAAAATCTTATACATCGTTTTCTGAATGGAGTCGATACTGGTTGTTCAAAATATAGAAAGATCAAAACATGTACTGTGTCATTCGAACAATGAGTTTTATCCAAAATACACGGATTTTGTAACAATCGGAAAATTGTTCAAGTAGGCTACTTTTTTAGATTCAACCAACTCCAATACTTTATACATTACACTTCCCTCATAAGGTTCAGAAATAGATGTTGAAATTTAAGTCACATGTTTATAATATACTCGTTGGTTGATATGGGAACGTCATTATCGAAATTAGCTCATCAGGTGAGATTTTTTGAAACACTAATATAATTTATTTTCAAATAGAAAAGTACAATTGAATTTATTTCCATTTTTTTTCCATGTTGTACAGTGTAATCTCCAAAGTATGAAGATTCCCCATATGGGAAACTTAAGGGATTATTAAGGGATATTCGACAAAAATTCATTCCTGATAAAAGTTTGTGCATCCCCTAAAACTGAACATGCACCAACGAAATACGGTAAAACACACGTAATTTACCATCTGAGTTAAGGTTTACTTTTTTACCCATTTTTTTTTTCAATGGGGACTACGAAAAATTAAAATTTCCTAAAATATAAATAGACAGCATTCTGTATACGACGGTTTATTTCAAAAGCCTGTAATATTACAAATCACACAACTATGGTGTTAACCACGGTCAATTTTTTTGAAAAGTAACATAATTTTCAAAATTCTTGGTGCAAAGTTATTTTTATTTTTTGTTAACACCAAAAATTACTCAAAATTGTGCAGTATTGTAACAAGAACTTATTGTTCAATGATATCAAATCATAAAACATTAAAATAAACTAGGTACTTTGGAACAAACTCATTGATTTTCTGGAGATTATTTTGGAGAATTACTTTGGACAGGAAAATTGACCGTGGTTACACAATTACTCGTATATTACGTGTGTTTTACAGTATTTTGTTGGTGCATGTTTAGTTTTAGGGGATATACAAACTTTTATCAAGAATAACTTTTTGTCGAAAAACCCTTAATAAATAAGTTTCTCATATGGTGCATACGTTGGGGATGACACTGTATGTATTATAGTACAAAAGTGATATTCTAAATTAACTATTTTGATAAACACAATTTTTGTCGGGAGCTACAAGAAGCATTTGATGAAATTGTCTGGTAACATAACAATTAACAAAAATGTTAATAGCTTCTGTTCCTTTACCGGTATGATGTTGAATATATTGCTGGGAAATATAAAATTCCAGCGTTGGAAATATCAGAGAAAAAATTAAATTGACACTGACTCCCACCCGTCAATGTATTTATGTAATGTTTCATGAAAATCCGTGCTTTTTTATTATATCGTCAGTTCACAGAATTTTCAATATAAATATTGAACATTCAGCAACAGTATCTAGAAGATGTCCAAAATACAACCCATCTTTCTGGATTGTCTTATTTAGACCGTCAACAGGATATAAATCAACGAATGTTACTTGTTCTGTTGTAACATTAAGAAATTATTATTTCATTTTACTCCATAAGTTCGTTTCGTATTGTGTTAATTCTGTTTCATTAGATGAGAGGAGCCAGGACAAAAGGGTATATACTGTATATAAGGACGGAGGTTGACCAAGAAAACTCCATTTTTATTTCTGAGGATTTATTTTAGCAAGATTTTTAACTTACAAATATCCTACATCTTTCATAATTTTGAGGATAGAGAAATCTGACCTTTTAAACACGATCAACATTTTCAAGGCATATACTTTTCTATAGAATCATCACTGCTGAGGTTAGTTAATAATTTTTACTTTTCAATAGAAATATATCCAGCGACTATACAAGATGATTCAATTTGCAAATTCGAAATAATGCGTTTTGATTGTAAGGTTAGAAATAAAAAAATAATAACCATTGTAATTATCTTGCTATGTTTCTAGTAAAATATGAATTTTGTTCAGCTCATGCTTTATTATTGTCTAACGCAAGACAAATCGACAGAAAGCCTACATTATTGGTTATTCCATTTCGATCAAATTTTAGGATCAAATCATTCGTCTATTGCTAAATGTTAAACATAAACGATTTGTTCAGTGAAATTTGTTGTTGAGTTGGCTCCTATATTCAGTAGCCCTTAACTGTTTCTTGTCGTTTTTTCAAATAAGTACAAATAATTCCATAATGGTAATATCCAACATCATATGGAATATTCACAAGCATCTAGAGAAGGACACGCAATGTGATGAAAGTAAATATTTTTGTCAACATACCAAATTTACAAATATTATCAGTTCGTTCAGCTTTGATTATTTCCAACCCAATTTTCCGTAATTCCATGAAATTGTTCGCTATCTTCGCTTGGTTTTTCATAATCACTTGTATTCCATCTAACGTTATATTTTCAATTTTCTGAAATTTCAAAGAAAAAATTTAGTGCAGTTGACTCTTTTTTATTGCTTTAAAGAAAGAAAATAAGATTTTGTTTCATATGTTTGAACTAATTTGCATGAAATATCAATAAACATTATTAATGTTCATCGTCCTACACAGGTTTCTGTAATAAACCAAAAATATTGTTAAGAAACAATAGAACGATCCATTGCCAACCACGACATATGTTTGATAAACTTTAAATTATACAAACATAAAACGGAAACAATACTTCATTTTCAGGGATATGGCTGATGCATAAATGAATGTTTTCAATGATCAAGTTGTACAAACAATGCATTTCAATTTAGTACAACTCGTAACTAACATTCTTGTAGTTCTTCACAAGTTTCGAGAAATACATACTCTTCGTTCGGTCGTTCTGTATAAAGTGATCAAGTTTGTGTGTGGGCGACAAACTCGGAGTAAGTAAAATAAACATTACTATTTGTTTTCTGGCTGCAGTTGTCTACGTCGTATAGTCAATTGCACTTTTCAATTTTATTTTCTTTGACGCGAAGGCGAAAATTTCATATTTCTGATGCATTACTTCATTTCGTTTGCGACGTTTGTCAACAGTCATTCAGAAGCGTTGGTTTACTTTGGAAAATTGAAGTGAACCGAAATATGACTCCGGTGAAAATATTTTTAGCTGTAAAAATACGTACATACTCGAAGTTTACATTTTATTTATTATTACATCGCTGGGTAAATTGGTGTTAATCAAGTTGAGTAGGTTCGGCCATTCGTAGAAGTTTTATATTTACAAATATAACTTTTACTGTTGTGAGATCAAGTGCAAGTTGAGATATGAAGGCGGCTGAACTCTTTGATAGACATTTTTTGTGGTGGTTGAGGTCAATCATCCGTTATTACAAAATAATTACGAATATTAGAATCTCATCAAATTCATCTGAGAAAAAAACAAATTGAAGCAACATATTCCTTGTTGTTCGGTTAACCTGAATCAGTGGTAATCTATTTTGATTTCGTTCATAATAGTAATTTACGTAAACAGTCCGGAAAAACCTGTTTTTTTGAACGGATGGACACTGTCGACTGGTCTGTAAAGCAGGTGTTCATGTTATGACTTCAATTTTTTTTCTCGAAAACGAAGCTAGACATGAAGAAAACACAGGCGACGAGAAAGTTGTATTTTCAGTTAATTATTCTAAAAAAAATCAAAAACTATAGTAATAAGTTAGTGACGTATTTTTTCCCCAATATTGTTGGCTGTGGTGCCCTCTGTGGTGTCCACTGAACCTAATAATTTCGATCTAGTTAGGGCTAAATTAGCGCCTTATTAGTTAAAATAATTAGCAAATTTCGAGCAAAACGTTGTAAGGATTTTTATGATATTCTATAAATAGCTTTTTAACTTCAATACCCTATATCTCAGAAACAAAGCAACTCCGGACGGTCGGTAGCCGATCGGTTCGACGTGGGTGCTTTGTTCACTCACTCGAATTGACCGCCGTGTTGGTCGGTGGTTCAAGCCCCAGGCTTAACGATCGATATTCACTTGCTATCGTCCAACCCATGTAAGGAATCACACGTTAAAAGGTAAGACATCGTTAATCGATAGCTTGCACGAGTTTCAACTTTTGAGGGTTGTTGTCCGTAGGGGTGCGACAACTGGTTAATGGAAAAACAGATTTTAAACAGACTGATTTGTTCATGAGAACTTTATTCCTAAAACGACCTAACGAATCACCCTCTGAAGTTTCGTATCGTAGTTAGGGAACACCCTGTAAATATAGTATTTTCATTTATCATTACCATACTTGTTTTGAAATCAATTTTTGCAAGCTTCCTACTAAAGCATGTTTATGAACGATTCAAGGGAGCTCTTCGTATGAGTTTATGAAAGCAATTTTTGAGCATTCATTTTAGTTTTCACCAATTGTTAGGTTACCAGAAAAAAGTTTCGGAAATCTAAGGGACGACTTGATGAGAGAAAAATTCGTAAACATGATAATATTATCGAACCGTATTATAATGATTATTTTATTTCTTAATGCTCGGCATTTTTGAACATTGAATATTTAGGAAGATCAAACTGATCTTTCTCTTGAAGATGATCACTTGGTGATCGAGATGTTAAAATAACGGTTTATTGTTGGGAAAAAACTCCAGTAATATTCATTACTACACCAAAGGTTCCAAACAGTGCATCATAAGTACTCGGCATTTTTGATAAGTCAATATAAAGACACCAGTATTCATATATTATTCATCTCACTTCTTTCTCGAAAACCAAAAAGGAAACTTCCACAGCTTTCTGTTTTTGACCATCTTTCTATTTCAATATAAATTACTTGAATCTTTTTTTATATTGCTCAATCTTTTTTTTTAGATCTGGTTCATCCACAATTATACACATTGGTTAACGGAAAAACAGATTTTAAACAGATTAAACAGATTGCTATCTGAAAATGATATTGAAATCTCTCACTTCTGTGAGGAATAGATAAAAAATTTATTCAAATTATAAAGACGTGTTGAAAATAATATCTCGGTCTCATCAGCAAAATGTTGAATACTGTGAATTGAAAGTTGAAATTATTGTCTAAAGTATTGAGTATAGACTGAAGTCAGAAGAATCACTCTTGAAGATATCTACCGCAGACCAAACATCAGTACTAAAAACCTACGGACCTTGGTTAACAAACCACCAAATCAGTCACAATAACTGCATATTCTTTGATTCTACCATATTTATGTTATATTGCATTACTTAAAAGGTGTTGATATTACGAAAAATGTCAGAATCGTTTCATGAATGAAATCGCATAATGAAAACTCTATATATTGAAAAAGTATAAGGCTTGAGAGTGTTTATACCTACCATATATTCGTGGAAACCTTTTATATTTTTTTCATCAAAATTTTTCAGCAATAACTACAAAACATCATTTTTGTCAAGGTTTTTTATAGTCTACAAGTCTTAAGTATGTACGTGCCGTTTCATTTCATTGCTTTATTTGTTTCGTATATTTTCAAGTACAATGAGTTGGTATCAGGTTTAATACTCCTATGGCAGTGCTGTTTTTTGTGATAGCCTTTTATGAGGCCTACTTTATGCGGCTACTTGAAATGGTGATTGTCTTTACTATATCGAGATTTTTTTTACATCTACTCCTGGAACATTTATATTTCACAGTCAACACATCTATCTATTCGGTTAAAAACGAAAATTTTTACTTTCTGCTGACAAAACGGAGTAAATTTCATGAGGAAACTACATTACCTTATCAAAACAAGAATGTTAATGTGTTTGTGTGTTCTTTACCTCAAATATTTTGTGTATGCTTGTTAATACTGCAACTCGTTTTTTATCTTCGATCGTAAGAATGTCAATTTTTAGCTGTGATATAAGAGTTGTTTGACATTATAATGAGTGCATTGAGCCGGAAGAAGACCACGTTAAAAAATAAATGAGAAAAAGTGCAAAAAACTTAAGTTTTCTTACTCAGACATAAAAATATCAAATCACCCACATGAAGGTTAGGTTTTTTTCAGTATCCACCTTTTCAGAATGAAAGCTGACAGCTACTTTCCTGTCGTATTATTTATATTTGAAAATTTCAAATGTTCAATTCGCAAATAGACCAATTGTTTTCTTCGGTCAACATCAGCGGCAGCCATTCAACTAAACTTACTAACCGTGTCCTGCGCACCTGTTCATTTAAATTGAGTAAACAACTCATTCCATTTCATGGCTTCCATCCGGCAATGGTTACATTGTCGTCTCATTTGACTCGCTTGACTCTGATAGTAATTTTGAATATTCATGAGCCGATTTCCATAGGAAATCAATTGAGTGTGCTTTCAAAATGACCACCGCTCGAAATTTTAACTTCAGTTGTCGAGTTTATTTGTAAGTGAACGAGATGATTTTAATGAAAAGGCTTCCAAACTCCATCTCAACAGTATGAAGAACATCATGACAACACGGTCAACGCCTAGACTCTACAAATACGTATTAATAAATACTTATTGACTATTGAATTTATTTATCGACCCCAGATTTGTTACGAATATTTCTCAACCACAAAAAATTAAATACTACATTGGCTGAAAAATCTCTGGTCTAAAACATAGATGGCACTAGTCTAAATGCATTCACGACTTTTTCAGTTATTACTAACCTTCAGAAGAAAGCCGTTGAAATTTCATGATATTCTTGTCATAAGTTTGTCAGTTATTGTGCTAAGAGTGACACTTCTTCGTTAAGGTATCAAAGAATGTGTTGGCTTCATATTGCATGAGCATTTGACTATGAAAAACCTCTGTTCAAAATGGGTGACGCGCGAGCTCACTGTTGACCAAAAACAAGATCGTCTTGATGATTCTGAGCAGTGTTTGGCCATGTTTAAACATAGCAAACCGGAATTTTTGCGTCGATATATGACAATGGATGAAACATGGATCCATCACTTCACTCCGAAATCAAAACGATCATCATCTGAGTGGAGAGCAACTGGTGAATATCATGCAAATCGCCAGAAAGCACAGCAATCGGCCGGAAAGGTTATGGTTTCGGTATTTTGGGATGTGCGTGCATGGTGTAATATTCACCGACCATTTTGTAAAAGGAAATACCTCAACAGTGGATATTATATAGCGTTATTGGAGCGTTTGAAGGCTGAAATTGCAAAGAAATGACCGCATATGGCGAAGAAAAAAAAAGGTTCCATTAAGACAACGCACCGTGTCACAAGTCAATCAAAACAATGGCAAAACTACATGAATTGAACTTCGAATTGCTCGCACATCCACCATACTCGCCAGATTTGGCTCCCAGCGACTACTGGCTGTTTGCAGACCTCAAAAAAATGCTCACCGGTAAGGAATGTCACTCGAATGAAGAGGTTATAGCTGTAACTGCAGCTTATTTTGAGGCAAAAAAAATCGTTCTACAAAAGTTGTATTGAAGTGTTAGATCAACGTTGAAATAATAGTGTGGCTTTTGATGGATATTATGTTGATGAATAAAGCTAATTGAGAAAAAAAAACGTGTTTTCTTTCTCAGGCCCATGTATAACAGTAACAGTGATAATAGATTCAATAGTTAGATAGATTCGTATGAAAAGACATAGATGGACTAGCCTTCACGAAAAGTAGAAAACTGGGACCAATAACTTGTGATACGCAAGGCACAGAGATAGTACTGAGCAAAGCTGTTAAGTATCTTGGGGTATGGCTTGACACGAAGTTCACCTTTGCCGAACACGTAACCCAAATATCCTCAAGGCAGAAAGAACAGATTTTGTCTGGAGTAGTACACTCCCAGATTTTGTACGGTTCACCATCATGGCACACAGAAAAGCAAAACAAAAAATTAGTCCAAAAACTCACCGGCCTACAAAATAAATTAACAGTTAGAATATGTATTGCATATAGAACTATATCATATCTGCAG